CGTGTGCGCCGGGGGGACATGGGGTTTGGGATGTGTTATCCAAACAGAAACACCTGCAACGGGGGAGGAAGCGGGGTGGGTGGGAGAACAGGGCCCTGGCAACGCGCTGGTTGTCACATAGCGACTGTCTATGGAGAGAGGGTTTAAGTGGAAGAGGGGCGGGGCCTGCCTGTCTTGCGGCTATCTGTCTCCCATGCGCGGTGAATACTTCAGCTACAGGTGCAAACTGAACCCAAGATCATAGATCTTGTCACCTGTTACCATTTGGATGACTGCACCCAACCTGCTAACCGTGTGCCTCAATTAAATTATCGAAATATCTGCTCTGTAAACTGTGATGCCACACGAAGACACAATCAACTGATTCACAGATAGTTTTGTCAGGTCCTTTCTGAAACATTCCCACTCGCATTACGCACTTGAATCCATCAGCAGGCAATTTTCGTAGGAGCTACTGATGTCACATCAGACTGAGGTTATGCAAAGAGAATCTGATCGAAATGAGTCAGACGTCAAAAGACCCAACCGTTCGACATTGAAACTCGGTGATGGCCTTCTTGAAATCACAAATAAGTGCTAGTCATGGAATCTTTATACATGGCGTTGCATTTGCCGTGTCATCATCGATTTTAAGTCCTCAGGCAAGCACACTACCATAAAATCTTCCCACCCATAATGAACTTCCGACGGATTTACCAACGCACTGCCAAATGCTGTCGTCGATTCCGCGTAATGACCCTCCATGGCCGAAATGAACACACACACGCACACACGTGCCTGACCCCACATCGGAACTAACAATTTCAAAGTAGCCTGCTGCAGACGCCGCAACTGGTTTTATGGCCATGACGTGATTGACTGGTGGCTGGCTTCCAAAACCCAGCCTTTAATACTAATCCGGGACCAACTAATTCAGATTCTGAACCGGGAAACCCTTCGCAGGCGTAACTGGTAGCTGAAACAGGCTCTGATGTGTCCTTAATTCTGAGCCTGGTTATTCAAACAAATTTACTGGACGTGTTGCGATTGTAGCTCTGGTCACACAAGCGGAATCCCACCTATGGAATGTGCCAACGCAGCCTCCAGTGCCTCCACAGCCCTTTCGCGTCTTCGCGTCATGCATTACCGAAGTGCAGTCTAGTGAATAGTCTGAAATGAGGAACTAGGGGCTTTCGACGCCTGCAGACGGCGTATTCAACGCCAGCAGGTGGACGCGGTTCCAAACGGCCTCCTGCGCGGTGATCATAAAACCGCAGCCTCCTCTGTGGGGTCACGGCAAGTTGGGGAGCTGGATGAAATGGCAGCGCGCGCGTGCCAGACACAATTACGACGTCCTCCATCTGCCTCCCATAAATGCGCAGTGTGGACGGAGGAGATGTTGGCGGTGACAGGGGTGCACTTTATTGACTTTCATCAATTTTATATACCCGCGTAGCTGAACAGGAGAAAAACTAAGCCAATCTTTACCACTCATGGGCCAATGAATTGAGTCAATTTATGAGATTTGGGTTTAACTTACTGTCCTTTCGTGTGTCCGTTTTAACAACGCCTTTATTTGGAATGGAAGAAACGATCTATTTAATTAGTTACGATCAGTTCTTGACTCTACGGTCACCAATGAATTCCCATCCATACGCATCTCAACAATGCGTTGGTGAGATTTCTTGATGGAATATGTGTTGAGGATATCGACATTCCCCAAGGCAACTAAGCTGGCCCGTGTAACACTCAACCTATCGATCTCGGATCGCTCAAGCCTATATGAGTGGGCACATCTGGGGATCCACTCGACTTTGGCTTTGACCCCATAGTGTACTAGAACCCTTGGTTCAGCCAGTAAAGCCCTCAGCACAAGCTCTAGCCTTCTCTTCAACGGTCGGCCCAGGGATTTGCATCAAAGCACTGAGTGAAAACGTAACAATGCCACATTGATTTCAGTGTTCTTATATGTGGACCAAACCGATCCCACTAAACCTGCTGCATCACAAATCCATCAACGAAATCACAAGTACCGCGAAGTCAAATTTTCACACCTAACCCTGTGGCACAAGTGTTTTGTTTTCAAGAACTCATCGTGGTATTCACTTTCACCACCACTACGTTGACAAACCAAATACACCAAGTTCTACCGAAGCCTCACTGTGTGTGCTCAAACGATGGGAAAGCCAAACGATAAGTTTAAACAACAGCATAGACATTCCAAATCATATCTGTGATGCAAACCCGTTGTCGATTCTGGAACCGCCGAACACGTGTTCTCACAAGATGAAAACGTTGACGGTTATTCCGGGTGTTCATTAATTTCAAGTGACCCCTCGTTTTCCTCTTCCTTGCCTTCTTCAAAGACCTCGATCCACTCAAACACCACCTCATAAACTGCTCCCCAAGCGGCACCGACGTTCTGATCTCATCTGATTGGTCGCTTCAAATCGCCGCTGCAACAATCGATTTGCTCCGTTAAACCCTTGCAGTTCTTGTTGAACATTCTCCATTCGTAATTAAAACGAAACCCATAAATCCCTAGTCAGTTTCATGCCATGTTATGGCAATCAAATTACTAATTTAGGAAAAAGTCATTTAGCTCTCTACCATCTTATAAGAATTACGATGATGATTAACTGATATCTCCTGTTTGTCCAGCTGTAAATCGTAAATCAAAAAGTTGCCTTCGATCATCTGTAATCGAGGGTACGCTGATGGATGTTTTTCGTTGAATCGGTCAGTTGTGCTTGAGTGTAATTGTGAATGAAATTTATAGGCTCACCGCGTGCACTCCTCTGCTGGCTTTGTTCAACCCCCTCCCCTCCTCCCCCCCCCACACCTGCGATCGTTACGCTGCATTCCGCAAAAATCTGAAAGTCTTTTCAGTGGAATGCATTTTGAGTGGCTGCAGTTCAAAATCAGTGCACTGTGGCCTTGCATGGTGAAAAGGTGCATTTAGTGGTGCGTGCTGACAGTTCTAGCACAAATATCCACCGTAGCAGTGTGGCGAAATTGCGATCACAACGCTTCACATGTCGAGACCAAAGAACAGGCCTTCAAGAAAGACGTGAAGCAATCGACACGCATAGGTAGTCAGTAGTTCAGGGGATCCACACGGCTTGACGTCCGCGTTCAGTGTGCGTCGAGAGTTACTTGAGGTGAAATCGATACATTCGCCTATAGTGTGCATGCGTAGTGGTTGGTCCGTGATGTCTTGACACTGGTTCCCCCACAGTACTCAATAACATCCTCCAATTTGACCCCATGATAGCACCATGAGTTGGCAAGTAGCGCGATGTGTCTTCACCAATGACCTCTGCCGAAATTGCCGTGGCGACCGAGGGAGTTGAGGCAAGCTATGGCGCTAAGCTCCCAGAAAAGATATTGTGTGGCAATATGTGTTACAATATTCACATCAAATGAGTTAAAAAATCGATACACACGGGTCATTGTGTGGGACGCTGGGCAGAAACCAAATTATCGCACTAGAAGTGATGACCACCAACATGGACTCCTCTATTGATTACAGGAAGCACCTTTTGACTAAGAGTCAACCTCACAATTTCCATAAATCAAACCGCCTAATCCCTTCTTGGGTGCCATAAGTGATGGCTAGGAAAAGAAAACGATTGGTTGAGAAGTGTTAATGCTTATCAAACACGCTTTTACCCTGATAAAAATTAGGCAATTTATGAAACGTCCAAATCTCGACTAATAATGGCGTTTTTTCATTTCAAGTCACCGAAATTAGCTCAACTCAAAGCGTTGATTCAGGGCTGAATCAATTTTATATTGATTTTTTCCAACTATTTTAAACAAAGAACTTTTTTGTCAGCAGGGGACCAATTATTCGCCTTCGTTTACACCTTACGGTTGAAAGCATAGAAATTCGTTCGTGATTACACTAGGTATCGTGATTTTTCATTATTGCAAGAAAAATTCGATGCATACCGCGTGTTAAGGTCTCGCAATTACTGCAAATAACCTAGTTAGATCAAGTCAGTGTGCTTGCAAGCTAACTCATAGACCACGCTCGATTTAATTACGGATGCATTCCGTTTCCTGTGTGGTCACACGTGTAACGTAGATGAAGAGTGGTGAGGTTTAACTTACAAACAACATTAAATCGTCACGCAAAAAATGGCATCCAGACAGCCACATATAGAAATAAACCGCCCAGTTAATCGGAGTAACTCAAGTCCAGAATTCCAGCCTCGTTTGGCCGTTTATTCGCGCAACACGCTTGCCAAACTCGAGCCAATTTCCAAAAATCAATAACACCTTCTCTGAGCATAACTCCTCAACGAAAGCAAACAGGCTTGGCTATCGATCGAAAATACGAGCGAACTCGCCTGGATTCTAACTCCGAAAGACGTCCAGGGCAATTCAGTACAAGCGTCCCGTAATTGAGTTCGAATTTTGACCATAGTTGAGTGTTTCGTTTGCTAATTTGGCCGCCAAGATTTAGACCCGTTGACCGGTAAGTGCTCCAACAAAGGCCATGCAACACAGAGCCGTCGTCTGAGGTTTGTGTGAATTTTAAAATAGGTTTAGAGTACTAGATGTGCAGTACTCTTAAACTAGCCCCAAGCAGGACCCCTGCGTTCACTAAATATTAGTTTGTCGGGACTTTATCACCCGGTTTAAAAGGTTCCACTTCCAGTCGAGTAGACTAACGGCTGTTAGGACATAGAAAACTACCCATCAAGGCGCAAAATGACTGTTTGAAAGGTATCCAGCTGCATAAGATGGGAACCAGGACAGAGGAGGAAGTGGCCACGGTTGTCGCTGTTTCGTGGAGCGCGTTTGGCGAGGGGACAATTGCAAATTCAGGGAGACACGTGTGGCACCAAAATAATAAATCGAATGACTCTCACCTGAAACACGAAAGCGGGGGGGGTGCGGTTCAAGCCGCTGTGCCTTCCATGAGAACGTCGAAGGAACGCGTTTCGGCCCCAAATTCAGGACCCAGGGAGCATATTGTCAACTCCTTTCTATTTCCACTACTAGTCTCTATCTTTCCCATGTTTTAAAACACTTTCACTGAAATTCAAGTAAAGTGTGGGAGTTTCGCCAATAGCCAATCAGATTTAAGCTAGAGCTCTCATCCACCTCGATTCCACACATACCAGATTCAACAAAGTTAAGATGCTTGTGAAAGCAAGTTATGTATTTCATGAATTGAAGGTGACGAATTGGGGTTAGCGGAATCACTTTTGTCAATATAAATCTGTCATTAGAACAATATTCCAACGCTGGAAGTTAAGTGGATCCGGCATGCTCAACTTCACTTTCAACAGCACACGGTCGGTGTCCTTCGGGCAAGCATGGAGCGTAAGATGTGACCTTCGAGAATCTGGAAGATGTAAATTCGAAAAGAAGTAGGCAAGATCATCCAAGATGAAAGCACTACCACCTTGAAAGTGACGCCATTTGAACACCATGAGGGAGGTCGTCAATATAAACAGGAAACACCTCTGTCGTCCTCTATGCTCCCCACCCCGTTTGTGCTACGGTGTGATGATGATCATAACAACAGCTGTGTGCAGACGTGGTGTCGTTTGAGCCGGTCTTAAAAGCGGATATGAGCTCCTCGTCTCCCTTCCCCATCCTGCCCTCCCCTCGCCCGCCACCCGGCACACGCCCTTGTATCGACACATCCGGTGCGCGCGGCGAACGGTTTTTCGGTAGAGTGGTACTCCCCCCCCTTCCCACCACCCCCTCAAAGACAAATTGGTCACAGGGGAGTCACGAGGAGTTGAATTTCGGGTAGAGAAGTGTGGTGGTTGTACTTCCGGGCTTACCCACTGGGAACGGGTGTTCACTGTGTACCCGTCGAATTGAAATGTTTGCTTGGTACGATCGACTCCAATGCCAAGTGCGAAAATGGCCATTGGCGGAAAATCGATGATGGAAAATAGGCGTTTTTTGGCATACAATATATGCGAAGCTTCGAATGACAATGGGCTAGCACTTATACAAATTCTGTTATCGATCAGTAAAACAGAATCTTTTGTGATTTCAGGTAATTATACTTTGAGAATCTGGCAGATCAGTTGGGGGGTACGACATCATTCCCCGATCAAGGTACAATTGTTCCCCACACGTTGCCAAAAATGTAAACGTCTGAATTGATCATTGTTGCCCTAGGGTTATCTTAAAACACGCAAGGCTTTGGCTGTAATTTCACCAAATCGGCAGCACATCCACTGTTGGTCCAATTAAGCGTTCAGGCTGGATTACAATAACTTTTGTTTGGTGTTATTCTAGACGAGATATTGTCCACCACCATTGAAAATTCGATCCAAAACGCGGTTTGCTTTGATTGGTTTTAGGGATCCAGTTCACACATATTGATTGGTTGGCTTATTTATTAGAACCACCTCAGCATAATCATTCTAATTCAATTCAGATTTTAGCTTGAGCCGAACTATCTTATAATTGGTGACGCGACGTCCAACATCGTTGAAAATTCGATCCAATACACGGCAGGATTTGATTGGGTTTGAGATGAACGCCGCAAACATTGATTGATTGTATGAAGCGCATTCATTTCAGTTCATGCGTGTGACCAACTAACGTGATTCTTAACTAGTGCAAAACAATCAACTCGATCTGCATTTAGTTTGCGTGCGATATATCCAAGTATTTCATTGGAATCGCTCGCAGTGTCATGTGATAGCAATCCGAATCGGTTATTGTATCGATTTGTTTGATGTTTATCAAATCCGATACTTCGGAAATGCAGTTATTTGCACTCAATGCTCACGTCTACAGTTACGAACGGTTTTCTTGTAAAGTAAGTTAGACACTAACAAAGGAAAACCATAAAACAAGCAGAAGAACTTATGCAAATAAGCCATTCCAATTTGAATAAATCGATATTACCCCCCTGTCAATGCTGTTACCGCTGATTGCCCAATCTTTTCAAAAAGCAAAATTTTGTCCTCTTAAGAAGAGTTTTCATGTAGGATGAAGCTTACTTTCTCTATTCGGAGGTACCGGAGATCAAACGGTACAGCTGCGCTCTACTGGCCGGTACTCCGTAACCCCCAAAGGGCTACCGCCTTGATCTTCCCCTGGAGAAGCCGGTGCAATCTTAAAAACATTCATTTACACTGTTAGTAAACTGCCTTGATTACCTAGTGAAAACCTTCATGTTTTCCGTTCGCGCTTAATCGTCTCTCACTTATAGCCCTCGTGATTGGTATGGCATTATCGCGACTTGTTGACGGCACTACCACCACCGCCACCACCACCACCATTATTATTGTCGCCAGAGTATAATTTGGCTTGTTTGAAGCCATTCGGTGTTGACTTGAGGCAATTAGCCGATACCCGTGAAGTGCGGATGTCCGTTCCAAGCACCTGACAAACACGTGCTTGGAACAGTCATAACCGGGGGTCTGCACACCGCTCTCTGATGACTGTGATAAACTTTGGATAACCAATTCAACCGTCCACCCACCCCCGCACACACCCCCAAGCACCACACTTTAAGATAAACAGTTCCCAGTATTCGGTAGAATTTAACCGTGAGAATTGTCAGACACACGGGTGGAATTAGGGTTAACGCTCCTGCAACCCTCCCGCCATAAGAGACAATTCAACTTGAAGAGAGCATCACCGTGGCCTACCTGCTTTGTGGTTGTGCATGCTTGTGTGCCCCACTTGGTTCAAGTCGTCTACGAACCCCAATGACTGCTTCATCATACGCGTAATCTGGTTAAGCTGCGAAGCAAGTTGATGCCTGACTATTGACAAGTTGGGAACATCAATAGAACGACCAATTTCCGCCATAATTTGATGGCAGTTTTCTATCGATTAAATCTCCACAAATGTCGCTGCATGAGTATCGATCGAATTCACGAAGGTGGAACGATCAATTGGCTAAAGCACTGCATCGCGCGTTCATCGAGCCAGCAGTAGTCAACTGGACAGAAAGAAAGCAATTCTCAAGCAAGTCCGAATCGCATTTAAAAAGTGGCCTTATGTATTGGCATCTGGCGAATTCGAAGACCGTAAAATGACTGGCTTAACGTACACGGCATGAGAATGCTTGAATTAAGACTAACCAAAGTTGAACTTTGTAAACTCATATGTTCCAGAGTTTTTTGATGAAGTCCCCAACTAAGATCACAAACCCTGAATTAGTTTGCATTTCGGTAGAAGTTTCTGCAGGACTTTGTCATACCAATTGTTCGCTTACGAAACTGGTTCGGATTGCACGTGTACGACATCAATCATTTAAACAAAAAAACTCAAGAGATGCCTTGGAATCGGCGGAAATATTAGTTGTGACTAATGGCTGGTGCACAGTGGCACCCCCCCCTCCGCCACCGAGTGCAGCAATGATCGACTATTGCTCTCCACCCTGCCCTCACCACTAATGTAAACACAACAGAAGAGTCATGCGCATGTGGCGCGACAGAGACGGTATTTTTCACGAGCGTGCATACTTTGAAAATTTTACAATAAACCAGCGACGGTGTCCGTCATGGCAGCTTGGCATTTGCGTTTGTACCCCACGCCAGCCTCCCCCTCCCGCTACCCCCAAGCCACCGCGTCTCTCTCAGGCGTCGTTTACTGCGACCTACGCACGCGCGCGTATGCGTACAGGTGGCAACGCGTGTATCGATTGGTTGACGCGTAATTAGGCGAAGTGCGCGTGCGCGGGTGTGTGCGCGCAATTGCTGCCATTTGACAGGCTTTTTTCTTAATACGCTTTCATGCGCGCACACACACAGGCCTCACTTAATCGAAGAACAGGTGCTACACGCAGTTAATGCATGATGGTGCGCGCGGTTACGGTCACCCTCGGGGCAGCTTAAATGTCCTCCATAAAGAGTGTCTGGCGGTGCGGTTAGTGCCACGTTGATGTTGCTAGGGTGGGGACTTGTCACGGCAGTGTGTCTCATTTTAAGTGGACTCCTTGCACGGCTCCCAATTTACGGATAAGTGCTCCAAAAGAATTCGTCGGCTTTGACTTAACCTTCCGTTTATTCCTTGTCAATCGATCGTATCAAATTTAGATAGTATTTAGCCGGTGAAATTCCGCGTTTTCGAAATGCTAATGTATTGGAAACCAATTAACCTGCATACAAAGCATCATACAACAGTAAAAATGCGTCCTACCACAAGACAATCACACTGGATAGTAGGAACACAGCATCGGACAAGCGAGACTCATCCACTCAGGACTGGAGCAGGCAAGAATCCTTGTTCCAAGTTCTCCATGTTTATGAATGCACCAATCAGCATTGAAGGTGCATGTCCATGCAGCCAAACAGACACAAGGCCAGTTTGGCACGAGAACCCTGTGCAAAATAATACTAAATTATCACTTCTTAAGGGGGTCATAAATTTCTACCCCGTGTGTTCCTATTGGAAGGGGGGAGGGTGCAATTAAAACCCGTTGGAGCCTCATAAGTCAAAATTACCAACAAAGTCTAGACTACCTCTATCATGTGGCCCCCTGCACAATCGTCCTCCATCGTTGGGGGTCTTTTTGCAAAAATTTTGCACTTCCAAATCACAGAACCGGAAATCGGGATCATTAGGTGACTTAGAAGATGGCTAATTGTGGAATTCAAACACAGCTCTTGGCTTGGGACGGAGTATCCGGTGTCGGCCTGTTGGATTCCATCAGTACAGCTTCAGAAGTTGACCTACGAGTCCGGTTTGATCGCTTGGCACTCGAACATTGGGAAGAGGAAGAACCACGCCTCACAAACCTGTCCTGGTGCTTGATTGGAAGGTTTGTTTGAAAGAGAGGAGGAGTGGGAATTAAACAACGAGCCACAAACTGCGGAATCGCCCAGGTGATATCATCGTTATATAATGAGGCATTCGAAAATAAAGCCTTGAAAAGTGATAATTGGGCATTTCCACACTTTACATAAATGTAGATTTTTAATATTAATTTTTAAAAAATTAAAGCATATAAAAATTAAAAAAGTGTACCGCAGTTAGGGTTGTTTAGAATTTCCGGCTAAATGTGTATCTCGGCTTCGCCAACGCGTCCTCAAAATTGAGTGCTCCGATTCGTGCGACTTCACGTCTTCGCTATTGGCTACTCTGAGTTCTTTCATAACGCCTGGTCAGCCAATCAGACGGCTAGGAGTTGAAGAGCACATCTCCAGATTGGACCAATGAAAAGTGCTTTAGTGTACTGACGGCTCTACACCCTGCCTCATGTGAATTCAACTCACGCGTGAAAAGTACATTTTGCCAAATAGTCTGGCAAGGGTCATCGCGAAGCGGGATTACAAGGTGACCATGTTGTCAACAGGAAACGCTGACCCCGTAAAGTGTGAATGAGTCAGTCGATAATATGGCAAAATTAAATAGTTCGAGGTAAATTGGATGGTCTAATTTCAATCAGATTAATGTGACAGAGTCATATCCATTAAATGGGTCCTGAGCAAGAAGCTGGTGTTTGTCCACAACTTCCATAACCCACCCTCACCAGCATTCCCACTAAGCCAATCACAGCATTTCAACGATTAATTGTTAGAGAAACTGGGATTATTGAATGCTCATGAGCAAAGATCCCTCTATTTGCAAAAATTTTATGGCATGCTGACGCAAAATGAATGCTGAAAAGAACGCCACATGTCAGGTGCAACCAGCAAGACATACAAACTCCACAAATTCAACAAATCAGAGTCAATGGTCAAATTTACGAGACCAGTTAACTCGTAGCCAATGAAAAGCGTCCGTGAACCGCTTCGTAATCGATCGCTCACGCAGACAGATTGCGCGGGATTTCGGAGTAGCAATCGATCGCCAATACGAGTGAACTCGTCTGGACGTAGAGTAAAATCGATGGCAACGAAACAGTCCTCTACAGGCTAAACAAATCCTTGGCAATGTCTTACTTCGTTTTCACCTTTAAGGAATGCGGCCAGCTGAGTTCAATTATTCTCGCTTTAGCCGAAACTGGCCAATCGGTGAGCCATAAATGTACATTGTGCATGGGAGAACTCATAAACTTGGCGTAATTACAATTATGAAGAAAGCCATCGTCGGAAATGCAGAGCACTTTACTTTTTTTTACTTTTCATCAATACACTTTTTGCCAAGTTCTTCCACGTGCCCCTGTTGAATTGAGTTTGTTCTCCAACACGTCCCGTCGCCCTAGTGGCAGCAACGTGGAGCCCTCATGATTCAGTGTGAGAAATTACCATTTAGTTATGGTTAACATCATCAAAAACCGAAATATACCGTTTTTAGAAATGCCAAATTGCTATGGCGGCTTGTCCGGGCATAGGAACTGTAAAGAGTGCAATGAAACCACCGATTAGACACGCGCACACGCATGGAGTGGCAATCGATCACCAATACGATTGAACCCGCCTGGATTTAAGGCAAAGTAGATTTGAGAGAATCAGCCTTCTGTTTTTCTTCAAGCGCTTCTCTACGCAGTTCAGCTATCTACCGCACATCTGATGGTACTAAGAGAGATTTATCGATCTGCTAGCCATTTGGCACCATTCAACAGCAACACCAACCCCTGGCGCTCCGGATCAAAACAAGCACCATTCTATCGGAGTTGAGGTAACAGTCGCTAGCTGCGAAGATATAATCAAAATGATTCCCGAGAATTGGGTAGTTCTTAGGGGTCAAAGCAAGAAGGGCGTCTTTTCATAGATTATGGCCTAAGTACAACTTTTTTTTAAATTTCAATTAAAATTAATAGGTGTGTCAAGTGGACCTCAGCGAAATTTTACGATCCCCCTTCAAGTAAGCACAAGAATGCCACCGCAGTTAGCACTGTCGCCAGCTGGAGAGTATCGAACACCGCCAAGCGTAATTGAAGAAGCGAGATTAGGGTGCTGTTACGATCTAATCACAATAAGACAAGACGTGGGTCATCCAAAGTGAGTTTGGTGCCGTCTAATAAATCGATGCTAAAATCCCCCGGAACAAATGCCACGTCAAATCCTCCTTAACACTTTCTAGTGACCTTCATCTGGTAGGTAAACAAACCTGATTCAATCAAAATTACGCCTAGAATTTCCGCCCAGTCTTAATTAAATTCTGAGAAATTGTTTATTAGGATCACGTGTGGTGGCTGACGTCAAATGTTGCCAAGAATTTGGTAGGGAAGCTCGACGCCTTAAAAGGTTTTCTGGTAAAAATTTAGCCCGGCGCCAATCACCTATGCTCAAATTCTCACAATTTTGTAATACATCTGCCTTTACCCACCAATTACTGCTTTAATTAACTCTGAAACCACTCAATGGCATTTCTCACGTTAGTGATTAAAGCAGGTTGTGAAGGAAAAGCATAATTTATGAGCACTGAATGCTTCTTAAGCATCAAAAACGTAATGGTACAATGCATTAGGAGGTCGATGCATTCGCTAAGGAATAACCAAATAAGTGCATTCGATGAATCCATAAAACCAGCCAATAATATTGGTAAGAATTAGCAAAAAGTTACTAGAACAAATGTGATGTTAATTTACCGGCTCGAAGTACCAATAAAAATTGCCAGAAAAGAACGCCAGAAATGATTGGCTAAATTGAGTAGGTACTTGCTCACACGAATGCAGCGTACACTACAGATTGTCCAATTGACGTGCAGTGCGCCATGGACGCATCAATTAACCCAAACACACAACTTCGGGGGCCGAACTACTGAAAGTGGGGGGAATGGTTAGTGTTTGAGAAGACGCTAACGACCTAGAAAGTGCTGATTCCCACCTCCTTATTCCCCTTTCACTGGAAAATAAGCCTACAAATCGATTTAACAGGTGGGGAGGGGGTAATCGGTCTTGATTGATTGATTAAGTGATCGCGATCCCCGACGTTTACAAACCAAACTTCAGTTAGCTGAAGTTTCGCTCGTTTATGCCAGTGCTTTCGAGAAAATCATATTCACAGACCCGGTGACCTGGCCCCATCAACGTGAAAAACTCAGAAGATAGTGGCAAGCTTAATCAAAATCCTCCGTTTCTCTTTTTTTAATTTTCTCAACATCGTCAAATGCCAGCAGTGTGGGCGAAATATTGTGACTGCTAGCCACATTAGTGGTCTTGACGTCTGTATTATACCCAAATCATTACAGGTGATTGCATCATCCGTTCAGCCAGTTTGGTTGAATCACACGCACGCACGTACGCGCACTCATTCGCATTTCTTCGACATCTTACAAAGACACTCCGGTTCATACTAAGATCACATCAACGGAACAAGGTCAAAGCAAGCTTCTGCATCATCTTTATCATCATCATCATCATCAGCAGCAGCAGCATCGTCAATGAGGAGTGTCTGATCACTTGTGTCTGCGGATGATAATGACAATGATGGCTGTGCTGAATGAAGGATCCAACAAAAGACCTTCAAGGACTCGTAATTTTATGTGCGGCGATTAACCCAACAAGTAGGATCTCCTCAAGCCGTGGCATTCCAGCGCAGCTTGGGACGAGGTACTCTTATCGTCGACGTGATGGAATCCATCAGTGGAGCTTCAGAAGTTGACCTGAGAGCCTGGGATTCGAATATTGAAGAAAAGAACCACACCTTGCAAACATTTTCTGACGCGTAATTGGAAGGGTCGTTTAACTAAATACAGGCTGTCATACCTTCTAGGTGGTGTTGTAAGTTGCCCTACTGCTTTCCTAATTTCTCTTCACAGTAATAAAACCGTGGAACAATGCTTTTGTTATTCATTCTTCGTTACGACAAACACTTCCATGGTGTGAAATCCATGAACTGGGCTCGTAAAATCAATTCGAGATCCGAAAAGTTGTGGGATACGAGCGCTGTGGTCAGATTAATGGGAACCTACGTGTACAGGCGTGTCACAAAATCAATATTTTCACTATAGCGATTTCCCTCAATCTTGACTATTTTAGAGATCACTTGATTCTGGACTCACCTCTATGGACTACACCTGAACCGTCATAATCCGATTCCTCGTCTAGTAGCTACGAAGTCCACTTCGCTTGACGAATATTGTCTTTAAATTGAGCATAATCGGATGTTCATAATGCCTGTTGGATCTACACAATTTTTTGATTCTACTGATATGACTTGGTCTTTTAAAACCCTGGTTCGAAGTAATATTTCGCAAAAAAACCTTGGAGATGTCCTTGAAACAGATCAACACTCTTTTCAAGAAATCTTAGTGGTCGTTGTACAAAGTCACGTTCACATTGTACGTACATGTCAATTCCTGGTGATGCCTTACGATGGTAAACTGGGTAGTTTGTCGGGCTGTGTAGACTCAAGTCGTAAAAGTTTTGCAAATGCTGTCCACAAATGTGTACATTTGGGCCGTGACTCGCATGTATTCATGGATTTGACTGCCGCTTAAAATAAACTATCAGGAATCATGTAATAAACATCTCAACCACTCATGTTTATAAACAATTTGAACTAATCTGTGACCTATTAAAGCCATCCCAAACCTTCAGAAGGGGCACCGGCAGTCGTGAGACGTGCGGGAGTGAACTAGGATACTCGCGCGCCTCATTAACCAATCACATGCTAATTTGGTCAGTGCCTGGCCAATCCACTATCACCTAGGTTCTTGATGACCAATCAGACTCATGCGCGTACGCAACTGAACCAAAGCGCGCTCTGTCAACGTGTCTGACACCCCTTGCTCTCGCTCTCGCCATGTGCACACACGCGCGCATTCAAGATCATTTGGAAGGCAAGTGTTTACACGATTAGTGTGTAGTGTAAACTATTCACGACCGGAACTCAATAACCCGGACACGTGCGCCCCTCTGTTTCGTCTGTGTGTGTATGTGAAAAAGAGGTTGCCCAAAGTTTACCTTTCGAGGAGGTACACACCACCCACCTGCCAGCACTCGCATCATTTGTTTACATATCTCGTCTCCCATCCCGCCTCCCTTCTACAGTGGAAGAGAGAGAGAGAGAGAGAGAGAGAGAGAGGAAATTGCCCGAACGTGCGCGTGTGTTTATCCTAACGTCAAATCGGCGCACACGCGGCCTCAAAAATCGTTTGTGTAAACAACAACCAGCATGGCCATGGAAGGAAATTACCTGCAGTCCCACCCCCATCCACACATCTATTCGGGTCTGGGAGATCACGGGAGTGACCTCAGTGCCCACGTCGTAACCCCTCATCACCCACACTCGCACAGTGCTTTCCTTCTTCCGCCAGCTCCGGCGCATTACCGAGCCTTCGGACAGAACGACGGTGCGCCCGACGGTCTGCACTACCATTCCTGTCTATTCCCCGAATCGGGTGCGTGGGACCCTGATGTGCCGCATCCCTTCCACCAACACCACCACAACCACCACCCTCACCAGCATGAAAATCAGTCTTGCCAGCACGAAGGATTTTTCCTACAAGACACGAGTGACAAACAGACCGAGTCGGCGACCTCCTACTGGAGTGAGAAACTCCCCTCCCCCGCTTTCGGGACGTCGTGGGAGTCCGATCCATACCCGGGAACGTACCCCCTGCAGGCGACTGATGCAACCTTCTATCAGGAGTTTCAGAGCTCCTCCCCCTTTCCATCGCTGCCCGGAGCCCACTCACTCATTCCCCAATCCACCGTCGCCTACTTCAGGGGACCTTCTCCCTCGCAGTACGCAATCGGAAGACCTCTTCCCCCAGCTCCCCAAAGCTACAGCGCTGTGGAGTCCTCGAGTGACGCCTGCCTCTCATCCAACAACACCACCGAGAGCTCTGATGTCGTGTCCGCCGGCACACATCCACAAGACGGAGATGTGAAACCCACACTGCCACCAATCGAGTACTACTCCGACCGTCAGGAGTTTATTGAACCAATGGGCGAATGCAAGGAGGACGAGGAGACGGAGGGAGCGGAGAACGAGGAAGGTGAAGGAGAAGGTGGAGAACGAGGAGAGGGATGTAGCGATGACGCAGCTCTACCACAGGCTCCATCCTCGAAGGAGGAAGATCCTGACAGTCTTAATGGAAGCGATCAGAAGTCGGCCAGAAAGGAAGCCAGTATGTCTCAGACATTTGCATTTTTAGTGTGGCGATACCACGAATAATCGGTTTGTGCCTTGATAGTAATTTAGATATGACGTTACTATGCCAGTAGGCCGGGGGGTATTCGCGAATAGGTACGGCTTATTTTAGCACAAGATTCTGCGAAATTAATCAATATAACTTCGATCATGTTGCGTGTGCACACCAACTCACACCAAGTTAGCTTGAAAATAACCACCGTTAGTCAGCTGGAACTTATCGATTTTTTGGACACACACACACAAATCTGGCGCGATTATTATTTCAAATCTGTCACTAAGGCTGAAAATTTATCAAACGTTTTTTTTGCTTCAGACGGTGGTAGACGTTCAGAAAAGCCGCCCTACTCCTACATCGCGCTGATCGCAATGGCAATCAGAGCGTCACCGAACAAGCGCTGCACCCTCAGTGAAATCTACCAATACCTGCACAGCAAGTACCCCTTTTTCCGGGGCAGTTACACCGGCTGGAAGAACTCCGTGAGGCACAACCTGTCCCTCAACGAGGTCTTCATAAAACTCCCGAAAGGTGAGATTTCACATGGTGGAATTATTTTTCTAATTTCACAAAAACCATCCGTCGTCACGCTCGTAACAATCGGTTTATACACATATAATCAGTGGCACACAGGAATAAGCGCGTGCACACATGCATGTCCGAACGAGGTGCGCACGTACGCCCAAGCCTCCTTTGCTATGTGAACAATTGTGAAATTGATCAATTGGAGTGCGTGCGTGTGCGCGACCGCGCGCGCGTGCTAGGTGAAATGCGAGTGTCAATATAAACAAAACTCATACGTAGCCATAGCGACAGAATGGGGGTGAACGCTAATCCGTCGGTGTGCTCGTCTCCAACCCGATTACAAACACAAACAAGAGCTGTGAGTGGACGGAATGGGAGTTAAGGCCTCACACCGGAAGTGATTCAGTCACCACCACGATAATCCTTTGGGGGTGTCAAAGTTATGTTCAGGCTGCCACACTCGGGGTTGCACAAAATTTTGAAAAACGAATTAGGAGATTACGGCTAGCATTGTAGAATGGACGGTGTGGGTTTGAAGTGGCAAATAATGTCGACAGGCTTCACTAACTGTCATGCTAACGTTAACAGGAATGGGAAGACCGGGAAAGGGTCACTACTGGACCATAGATCCGACAGCGGAGTTCATGTTCCAGGACGGAGCCTCGCGCCGGCGTCCACGAGGTTTCCGTCGAAAGTGTTCTCTCAGTTCCACCACAACAGCGGTTGTTGGGACGACAGCGGCGGTGGGCGCAGAGGGTCAGGAGGGTCAGACCCAGTCAGCGCCATTCGGCCAGCTGCCGAACCCGTGTGTTTTGATGGACTCCGACGTCGCCTTCTCCCAGTTCCTGCTTCCGAACATGTGCATCTCCACCACTTCCTCGTCCCGCAATCCCTCAGGTGGAACTCCACCGCATCCAACTTCTGAAGCGGACCTGAAGCCGAGCGAGGACGAACGCAGTGGCGGTGGAGTGTTTTACGGTGGAGGCTTCTACAACCCGTCCATGGAACAGCAGTACCAAAATGTCGCATCATTCGTTCACCAGCACTTTCAGGAGGACGTGCAACCAATGAAAACCGAGGCCCAGTCGCCACACTACGAGGGACCCGGTTCACTCTACGGAATTCTTTCCTCCGTGAGTGGCACCACGCAGGCCAGCAATGCGGTGTCAATGTGGTCAGAGAACGGAGACGTCAGGCGCGGCTCGTATCCGGAGCTGGACACAGAGATGGCCCAGATGTTCGACTCCCGACGCTTCGGTATGCCGTGGAAGGAGTGGGAGCACTCGAATGGGGAGTGCAAACCGTCACCGCCTCCGCACTTCCAGCCGAGGATCTCCACGACGGTGGAAAAGGCAGCTGAAACGGTCGCTTCGGAGGGTAGCAGTCCTTCAACCATCATGCACCCCCACCTCCCTCCACCGCCTCTGCTACAAACCTCGTCAGAGTCGAAGGTCCAACGAGAACTGATTCCGACCATGTCTTGCAATGGTAAGTAGTTTGATTTCTAACACAACAGCTTGTCTAATTAGACCGAGGCCATCCACGAAAGTGATTCAGATTAAGGCAAAGCAATTACTTAATGTCCAGACGTATATCAATTTCTGTTAGATTCCTGCCGCAGTCTGGTGGTGGTAACATGGGAAATCGGATTTTGTTTTAACTAAGTGTTCCAGGAAGGAAATTTGAGCCTGGGTTCCAGCTAATTTGTAGGAATTTCCGTGAATTTGACTACAGGTCGATGAAGATCATTTGTAGACTGATCACCGCGGATGATTATTTACCAATCACGCATTTCGTTTTACGAAGGTCGAGTTAACGACCAGAATGGTACACTTGATGCCTGATCCCTTTTTCGCCTAATATCTTTTTGCCGGCCAAACCTAGAGATGTAGATTTCACAGGCACCGAAGCAAGTGCGGACTCTGGGGGAATTATTGATTGAATTACGCTTAATCAATAAATCTGCGGGCACTTATTCCATGTGCAGCCACTGCAGTTGATCAAGAACAGGGCATTTGAGACCCTGGTTAGTGCGCGTGCCAATCACGAGGTGGTGAGACCTGATCTGGATGAAGCTTGGAACAGCCAGATCATCACCACTGCTCCATTTTGGTTCTCATTTTATTTTCTATTGCAAAATTAATCAGTACAGCCTGAGTGCGTCATGATCGGATCATGTGGCATACGTTGGTGTCAGTAGCACAATTCAGTGCGTGCACTCGCTCTAACCACGCATGCATTCAACTTGTAGACTGTGAATCCCACTACGGAACACCACGATGACGCAATGAGAATCGATTAGCGTCGCACAATTGGCCAGCACCTCGTTGATTTCCCTACGCACCAAACAAACTCACCTACTTGATTGTAACAGGGCCACGCAATCGCATCACGCGTGGCCCCCCCCTTCACCACCTCGCAATCCAGACCACTGCTCTAGCCTCACATCACCATTCCAGCATTGTACATACGACAAGCAGCGCAAGATCGGTCCTGGTCGGCATAATTTACTTTCACTAATCATTGATTGCGTTTTCTCTCAGCCCCTCTCTATTTCTCTGTCTCCCCCCGCCTCCCTCCCTACCCCACCCCACCCCACCTCACCTTGAAATCAATTTTCTACATGCTCCAATCCGAGTGCTCGACTAATTCCTTTTTTATACTCACAAAACAAATTGATCATTCCCGCTACGGTGGACTCATTTGTGCAAAGAGGGGTAGCATTGTCGAGAGGATCTCGGATGCATTTCGGCCTGGATGTTGGGTCATGATTTGACCCGATTCTCCGATTCCACGTCAACTAAGTTAGTGCTAGATTAAAAACGAATGAGGGGGATTATGAGGGCATGCCAAGTTTGGCGTTAAACGGCACTTCTTGCCTGTCAGTCGAACACTCAATCGCTGATTGGTTGGACGGGGTCCAGTGACGTCATCGCAATACTAGTGCATCAAAGTGCGTTAGTAACCAGAAGAACCAATTCAGGTAAGAAGCAACAGTAAAAAAAAGCCACTCAGGTATAACTGCGAGAGAGGAAGAATTTGTAAAAAGCAAAAATGCCCCATGAAATGTCTCGAGTTTGTCTTGAGAGATTTGAGAAAATACGAATTCGAAATGTCATCAAAGTCACTTATAAATTGGTTTAAAATAAATACTTTCACACCGTTTGGCCTCAGAATGCTTAAAAAATGTTGGAATAGGTCTGGAATAGCCAAAGGAAAAAAGGAAAGAACTCGACCGTATGAAGGGATTTTATCAAGTTCCAAAACTGAAAAATAAACGCTACTCACAATAACAAAGCAGCAATCTCTTTAAATATAAGCTTCCAAATCACCAACATAGTACTAAATTTCACCTTTCCTTCGCTTAGCCATTTGTGAATTTTTACAGCTGGAGTTTAAGAATGTGTTTAAATAATTCAACTATTTCAAAGACAAAATAGGGACCAACGGTTCATCCGAGCGTTATTGTGGCCTGTCAATGAACTTGGGAATCCAATCCCCATTGGAAAAATCCGAATTGCACGAGAAAATCGGCTCTTTTTTTCACTAACGATTGTATAGTCTTCAAATCATTGATTGCTCTCATAAAATTCTTTATCGATCGATTAAATTACACCTGATTTTGAAAGTGCTCTTAATAAATTAATAAATCATTTCGCCCTAGAAGTCGAGTCATTACCTACTGTAAGAACTCGCTCTTTCAAAGTCCCTTTTTTGTCAGCTCAACTTAAGCAGGCCACAACTTGGCAAAATGATTTCTGGGTGTTGCAATTGGCGGAGTGTTAGCCAATAGGAATTCGCTCCTGGAATGGAAGATCCTAATCAGCACTCTTCCATGACTACATGCCTAGCATTCCTGCCTTGTTGAAGAAATTGGTCAAGGTGTGATCAGCGCGAATGGGCAAATACATTTAACAAAATTTCCTGACATTTGCGAAATGCACAACAGCGGGGATTTGAAGCCTCACAGCTGCGTTTTCGGGGGCTTCAGATTGGCTGCGCCGGTTACTTTGTCTAAATTAGAACGTGAAACGAGCAAATTGGACCGCTTGAGGGGTCGAAGAACGGTTGTGGAGGGGGCCACACGAGTTCCCGCGTCTCCAGAGGGCTTGGGTCGGGTCAAGCGCGGTGTGCCTGATGCATTCAACGCCACTGGCGCCTTCTGTTCGTCACTGGCGCCAAGTTTCTGTCCTCTGAGTCTTCCCAACAGGCTGCCTTTCATGGCAGTTCGACTAAAAAGCAAGGCAAAAAAGAATAGGCTATGAGGACTCTGGCAAAGTGTTGATCAAGATCCGACTGCGTGGATGATCCGAAAGTTTCCATTCCTGGATAGACACAGAATGGAAAATTTTGGGATTCCAGATACTGAGGTCGAAGGGTAACGCTCCGAATCACATTGACTTGGCAAAAATTAGAGTGCTTCACGAGGGTGAAAACTACTGCCACCTTCTACTCACAGTTTAAGCGGGCGAAGTCTACCGAGAGGGGGAACTCTCTTGAAGGTGGTGGTAGTGATGGTGGAAGGAGTGGACGGTGAAAAGGGGTCGTCGGGTGGACGAATTGATGTCTCCGGTGTGGCCGAGAGGAGTTCTGGCAAGGTCAGCGCATCATCCTGGTTCGTTTCTGGTGTGAGCACCGCAATTTCTCCGGCATCGTCTGGTTCATCTAGGAAGGGCAATTCAAGGTCATCCTCGCTCTCAGGAGTCGAGTCGAGCGTGAGCGAGGCGAGGTCATTGTGGAACCAATCTTCCGACGGTGACGTGGATTCCCGGTGGTGCTGGTTGCCTTGGTGATTGCGTGGAGTGCAGCGCTCGCAGCAGTGACTGAAACGCGAACTCATCGGTGTGGGTATATTGCGTTCGGTCTTTTCCACACCAGTCAACGTCAAGTCTTCCACTGTGTCTATCTCGACGTCACCTTCCAAAATGTTGCTATTTCGAGGAGTTTGAACGACGTCAGAAAACACCCTCATCTAATGAAAACAATTACAAGTACCTTAACCTTTTCATTACGAGCACAAGGGTTCCACCTATCTATGCAAAATGTGTTAAGGGAGAGCCTGCTCATTTTTTAGCTCTTTACCTATGCACAAGGTACGAAACACTCTTCGCCCACCACGACACGTCAATGCGCATGACCTAGATTATACGAGGCCATTCATTGGTGGGATGCTAAAAATCACAGGACTCGCGATATGGAGGTCAATGTGAACAATTTCCGTGATTTAATCAAGACTAAAACAACGTCTAACTTCAACAAAACCCACAAACATGATGTAAAGGTTAGAAAAGCATTAGTCGACGCAAAATTATGTCCGCTTACTGCGCAAGAATGCCAATAACTCAGGCGTCTGCATGCAATGACTACCTAGTGACAAAATTACAATTATATTTGACCTCAAATTAGTCAAGGACAGTGTCAAAATGCGGTTCCTACCATAATTAGTGACATGAAGATCAAACTTGTCCCAACTGCAATCCAAAGTGTCATGTGTTAATCAGGAGGCTGTTGGTCGAATCACTTAAAACTTGTTAAGTGTAAAAGGGGTAGCAGAACCCTATCACCAAAAGTGTACTGACGACTTGCCTGAATCAATCTCAGATGTTTTTTCATAGCTTGCAATTCAGTGAGCAGAAGATTTCTAAAAGAAGGAGTGAACAAATTGTTAAGAAAGCACCAGCTACGGTGACATTCTACAAACAACCTATCAACCTATCAGGGCAGGTTTTTGTTATCAAAGTTAACTTTGATCAACTGGATTACTTCAGTCAACAACCACAGTTTAAATCAAAATTTACAAAAAGTAGGAGAATATTACTGAATTATCTGCAAATCGACGCGTCACATATTTCCTGAATGCTCATACAGACAACCTTTTAAAGTGTTCTTAGTGTAACTCGGAAAAATTGAAGACAAGTAAAGACGACTAAAGATTTGTCAAAATCTCTGTTGAGATAAAAGATATAAGATAACAATAAATCACTATGAAATAGAAATATATGTACCGAAACAATGAAGCCAGTGGTGACTACATGGCGGCTACATAATAGAATGTTGTCAAAAATTCAACTGATTAAAATCAGTGCAAATATATACTGATCTTAAGATGGCCAACCTGATGAAGTCCAGGGTGTATTGCCTACCAATTAGGCTGTTTGAATTGTCTAAAAAGCAAGGAGTTCAAGTTACTTAATGTAACCAAGTAATACACAACTACATGTGCGTGGTTAATAAATGCCATGATTGCTTTTGAAATGTTCATTCTTGTACTAATATTTTCGCAAACGGATTGCTTTGCCAACTGCTTTAATAATTTGAGATTTCATAGGCCTTTATATCTTATGTACAATAAATCCACCTCGAATAACTAAAGTAGTGGGGTCTGAATGTCACTGTTCAGATAGTGATCAAGTTGGCATTGGAAACCATCAGCTAAAATCAAGTAATTTGCCTCGCTTAAAAAATCCTTTGGCAAGTTGAAGTTGAATCGCATGTCTTATAGATGCCATTGGCAAATGCCCAAAATACTTTGGGTCCACCGAATATCGAGTTCATAAGGCGACGGTCGAGAGACCAGGACGTTGGCTGAATTTGAACACTTAATGAAAAGAGGTCATTGTCTATAAGGATTGTCAGCATTGTAAACACTGCTATCCCTGGTTGCTTGGCTAGCATGGACTGATAAATAGCGAAATTAAACCAAATAAGTATGACTAATTGATGAAGCCAAATCAAATCAAAATTCCTTTAGGTTATGAATTAAAAAACCTACCAAAATCAAGGATTTTTGAGGTATCTGGCTGACTTTTTCTACTGTAGTTTCTAAACAGAGTAAATTTGAAGGTCTTCTTTACAAATGCTCAAAGCCTGTCTTCATTCGGAAATACTCAACAAACTTCAAAATTTCAACGTTTACTGTGTCCGTGAACTCAATAAAACTATCAACATGCGTAATCGGAGGCGTATTCCTACTCGATGAGAAAAGCGCTAGGGTAGAAAACGATTCCATCTAATAAATACTTTGATAAATACATCAGGTTACTTCTGTCATAATCTCGTCCACTTGTTCTATAATGCCGGGCCCAAGAATGGATTTCGCTTCGTAATGTTCTTGTATTGGCAATGCTTCTTTTATTTTACCCCATATTGTTTGTGGCCTCTGTCTCATTCCTGGCTCAATTTAATGAAATATAAAGTTTTGAAAATACACAACTGTTTGTTAAGGTTACTGTTAATATTACTAAAGACAAAACAATTTTCAAGGCTACGAATTCATTAAAATGTTATAAAAATTAAAATGATTAAACATTCATCTAACTTTATTTTTCTTATTATGAAAAGGCAAAAACATGTGTAAAATTTAGGTCAACAGACCTCCTTTAGTATTTCATAATTTTAGCAGACATGTTTATTACTATCATTTAGTTCATGCCTTTCTTGTATATTACGGCACGCAACTTGATGGTTAACTACAATTTCGTGGACGTAAATAATCGCTCTTATGTTTGTTTACTTAAGGAGTTATAATCTTAACATGACGAACTTAGCTCGTCGCCATTTCGATCTACGTGAATATTTTCTGCATCTAAATAATGTTCATCATTTTTAAAATACAAAGTATGTACTTTCATATTATATAGTTTAGGCGTTGTTTTTAAATATATTTAGCCAAATATACTGACTTAAAAGAACTGTTACAGTGAAAAATGTATGGAATGGTAAGAAAAGCATTATAAACCTGCAGCAATAAAATCATTTAACTAACTAAATTGCCATTTCAGACAGACTATTATTGCATTGGTGATTCACAAATATTTAAAAACTTTTTTCGTGCATCCAACAGACAATGATATGAGGTACCTAAAGTACTGACCAACCTAATTGGCCTAGGATTAAATACAAAGTTAAATATTCACAAAATTATTTGGAAAAGAGAAAGAGCCTAATGGAAAAGGCTCTTAAAATGAAGCTGACAATTTGCCATGAAATGATGTTAGTTTAAGTAGAAAAAAATATTAGATGAATTTCACCATTTTTGTACATTCTAGAATGCCATGCAAATAGAAAAGAACTGTGTTATTTCCAAGCTCCACATTATTATAAATTTAAAATTCCAAAACGTTTTTTTTCTTCTAAAATCAACGGAACAAGTGATGACCAAAAGAAGGAAAGTGAGTTGTGTTAGGTCAATTTGACGGTAAAAAACATAACTAACTGGTGTTCTTTGTCTGGTTAAAGCATAAACGGCAGTAAATAATTCAAACTTGTTAGAGTTTTGACAAGTATTGCAAAAAAAGAGTAGACCTCAGCGCTTCTGCATTGTATTAAAAGGATAGTAATCAACAAAAGCCTAAATTGTGGGCGAAATTCGAAAATACATAGAGCTAAAGACGACTAAGATTATACGAATTTAGAGTAAATAATGTTAAACGTGCTTAAAGAATTAACCCTGGATTTACTCATAAAATTTTAGAAGTTCATTAATCCTTGTCCAATAAAGCCTGTTTAATAATGAGAATTTCGTTGAATCTTTCTAACATTCACAGCGTAACAGCTCCAAAACTTAGAATTACACCTCCGTTTATAATCACACTACTTACCAAGCAATTCAGTAGCCTGCAGTATATCAAGTTCACTAAGCTGCATCGGTTGACGGACTTCATTAACCAGGCACGACTTTTCTGCATGGTGACATGTCATTGTTTGCACGCACAACTCATAAGCAGCAGTATTCTCCATCTATGATATTCGCGATTTTCCCGGGTATCTGGAAACAGTAGCCTACTTTTTCTTAAAGAAATGTTATGTGCCCTCATAATTTGCATTTCCAAATTATTAAAAAAGATTCTCATAAAAATGACTCAACCGGGTTTCATAAACAAAATCAGGGCTTATAAATAACAAGGTTATGGCCGCCAAAATTCCCAAACCCATGCTTAATCGGCGTGAAAACCGATGAAATTATAACATACTTTGATATGAATCTATAACTGATAATGCAATCAGTATATGGTTTGATCAATGTTTCGTTTTTTTGTAACTAAGCGATTACTGAACGAGAAATGGCATTTTTAGAATGCCAACAATATGGTGCTTGATTAATATTTTACAAATTTCTAAAATCAGTGTCGACAATCAAAGAAACTGGACATCGTTGGGACTTCGTGAAAGGTAATTATACATCGACTGAAACAGGGTAGAGTAGTAACGGCATTTGGTGTTGATTCATTGATGATGTCTTATGAGCAAAGACACAATATGGGTTGGAATTGCGATTTTATTGCTAATTGGCCAAGTTGAGGGCAAAAGCGAACCAATAGCTGCTTCGTAGTGGGCGTTTTTTGTCTGTAGGGCGTGGTTAGCGGGATGCCGATTACCAATACTTACCGTAGGTATACGCCTGATGCAACTTTTGGGCTTGTTGCAAACGACTCTGTTCCCATAAAATACATTAAGGACACTCATGGGAAGTCTGGAAAGTGCTGCGTTACTGGGACCGGCTCGTCAGTTTCTGTTTGGAACCTTCGCACCTCCCTTCCCGTGAGTTCGCATTTCTGCGCTAATGTATTAGATTTCATTTTTACATAGTAAAGTGGGAGTGCGACCCGTATCAGCATTAGCGATAAATTCCGAGCCCAATTCCACAGATACACTCGTTGGAGTCGGGTACATGGACGGATGGGTTACACTCTTCTCTTTGTGTACTCAGAATGAGGAAGCATCGTTCCGTGCAGGATCTCACCGAGTTACATCTCTAGATCTATCCAGCTCCTGCGTTGCTTGTGCAGCGGTAAGTTGTTTGGTGCAATGTTTATTTCCTAGGAATCTGAATTGCATGTCATGGACATTGTTTCGGGCGGAGGCTTTCGCTTAAAAGGTCATAGGGGCGCCATAACTTCAGTAAAACTCTTGCAACATAGAAATATGTTGATATCAGGGTAAGTTATGTTTTTGTGCTACTTATGTGCGCTTTTCAATGGTATGCGAAATTAAGTATTAATGTTTCTTATTCTAAAGCTCGCAACAACTTTATCTTTTTTAGCGGGCGTGACACCTTCATAAAATTTTGGTGTCTGAAAACACAACATTGTTTTCTTACTCTTACCGGGCACCCTGGTCCCGTGTGGGATTTCGCTTTATCTGTCGACCAGAAAACTCTCATTAGTGGGAGCTCTGATGCTTCTTTGCGTCTCTGGAAGATTAAGTATAATGTAAGATCCTTCCCTATTATTTATTTATTGTTTGTTGAGCCTTTGACCTTAATTACATCTTACAGAACCGCGCTACCGACCGAAGCGAAAGCGACTTCCTTAGTAAGCCCGACGTTGAACTGCGTGCTAAAGACAATCTTGCACAAGCCCTTCCACTGACAGACTATAGCTCATTGTTAGAAATAGACTTCCGTGGTACCATTCCTCGAAAGTCTATCAGACGCGTGTTCTCCTTGACTTTCGACCCAAGTGGCCGTTATTTAGTCTCCCAGGTCTGTTGGCATTCGGTATCGTGGCTATTCCTGCTTCGACAGCTATTTACTTGTTAATCTTTGCTACTCTCATCGCAGACCCTAGACAAGACTCTGGAAATATATGTCGTGCTTTCTGAAGCCGAACGCCAGTCGCGTCTAAGGAAGAAGCAGAAGAAGGCCAGGAAGTAAGTTTATGTCGTTTTAAATCAGATTTGTAAACGATGGTTTGTCATTTTGTTCCCTGGGACTCAATTTTTTAATAGCGTCATTTTCACGCTACACCGATTTGGTTATTTTGCTTGTAGAACAGGAAACTCGGACCCATCGTCGGTGGAGTTGAAAGCCGAAGATGAAGTGCGATGTATTTTCAGGATTTCCCTTCCCACCAAACTTTCTTCATGCGATCTCCGATTGTCACATTTCAATGTCAGAAATCCCCAGAACTCCGCCGCTAACAGTGAAGGCCAGCTTCGCATCACGATCTTGCACGTACGTAGATCAGATGCTTCACATTATCAAGCATCATTTAACCGTTCTTAATTGTATTACTGGTATACTGCTCCGCTCACCTGTTGTTCCAATAGGTAGATTTTCTTGTGTGTTTCTGGTATCTAGTGCCTATTTCGAACCTCTAGTCTTGTGACTGTCAGGTGTCCGTCTTTTCGACAACCGTGGTTAACACGCAGGGGACATTTCGAAAGTCGTATTCACCAGCATCGTCCATTGGTGTTTCTTTTGTAACTCTTAAGCTTCTCTGCTCATACCGGAACAATTTGGTGGAGGAGTTCAGTCTGAAGGTTCCGCCCACACTCCCGACTCGGCCGATATTCCTTAGTGGTGGTCGAGTGGCAAAAATGCACGAAAGAGGAAACGAGCGGGCGGTGGAGTCAGACAGCGAGCTGCGCCTCTCCAGTCGCATCTCCAATCCCGGCCACCGCTCGTACCCTCTTGGCTGTCAGATCACTGAAGACGGCTCTGGGGTTTTCACCTTGGCGCGTAGCGAGGGCAAGTTGTGGAACCGGTGAGTTCCTCCTTGTGCAACACCTGTGGGTGTGCACCAAGAGCATCCAGTTGTGGTCATATTGTCTTTCGCTAAAGTGGCGGTGGTCTCCGTGTTTGCTAAGATGGTGTTAAGTAGCCTGGTTACTTTGGGTTTCCGGTGCCTGTTCCTCGCATTACACGTAAATTCAGTCCTCTCTTTGAAGCATATCACTTCATGGGCACCTTAAGAGTCTTTCTCTCAGTCAGTTGTCAACGTTTTCTTTTCCTTTTTTCCCCAGCGAAAATCTCTCCTGTCTGGCAACAATAGACTGGAGCTCTGTAGAACTGAAAAGCACCAAGTCTTCGCTCGTTGACGAATCGGATGCAGACGAGGAAGAAGGGAAGTCGAGGGGAACCGCAGACTGGAAGAGGGATCCATTGAAGGCGTTGAAAGCCTCGGCATTTGTGCTGGCCCCTGGCAATCGACATGTTGTCATTGGATTTGAGGTTTGTTCGATCTGTTGAGCCTAGTTTCGCCAACCCGTGCCACTCCAAAACGCCAAATCCACATCTCCCATTAACAATATCATCACCATAAACATTTTAAGTAGATTTTGCTGCTTTTCCTGCATTGTCACTCTTATAAAACTCACAGTAAGATAGACCGTAGATGAACAAACATGGATGTGGTATTATCAAAAGGAAATTGGTAAAAAGCGCAAATTTAGTGCAGTTATCAGGATTTTACTGTAATAACCACGGATATTGATAACTTTCTTGCGTACGTATCGGCCTTCTTCGTTGATTACGGTAATGGCAAGACGACAACGTATTTCCTGCGAATTTACAGTAGTGTTTTCAGTAGTTTCGCATGTCATCTTTGCGTATGTCGTCGAAGATGTTCTCCCAAAACGGCAATCGGGGTGAAAGAGCCCATTTTAAGCCAACTACCGTATGAGGACTTGAATTAGGTAACAGTTCTTATTTAGCAACTGACGCCCACTCACGAAGTTCGCCTTTCACTCATTTTTTAGTCTGGAGTAATCTGCTTGTTCGACTTGCTTTTGAAGAGGTCGATTCAGACCGTAGACGATGCCCATGCCGGTGCGGTACGAAGCCTCATTCTCACAGGTGATCGTGTAAGGCTGTTTCCTCAGTACGCACTTGCAGTTTGCTTCGTGTGGTTATTGTATTCATGCATCGGTTGCCTTGCATTCTAGAAAGGCGTTATTTCAGGCACTGCAAATTCCAAAGTGGGCTTCTGGAATTTCGACTTGGAACTGGTCCCCAGAAGGTAAACTTCCACCTTATTCCTCCTAGTGCAATGTTGGAAACAACGAGATGCGGTGCATCTGAAAACCGAACAGCTCCTGTGGTGGTACTTAAAAATATTGACCGTTTCCGAAATATCGGGTCCGCATGCCGGAACGTTCAACGTTTGCGTTTTATCCTAAACATTAGCTATTACGACAGTGAAAAGTAAATAAATTTACACACCAATATGTGAGTAACAAGTCGTACCGCTTCTATAAAGTTCAAATAGTGCCCCCAACGAAACAAGCACAGTAAAACAAAGAGTCGTTGTTGCTAATTTTGTCGGGACTTGTAATCCTCGCCTGTTTGTATAGGTCGTGGCGGTGGTCGCTTGAGTGGATACCTGAAGCCTCATTGGCTTCGGCTCTTACGGGGTGCACCTCACGACCCCGCCGAGGGCTTGCAAACTGTGTTGTGTAGATTTTCTTGAATCCACAAGGTTTCATCGTAACGTCGGTGCTACTACTGGCATTGTTTTAGTGCGCCCCGCCTGTGCCTGAAGGCAGTTCGTCAGCCTGAATCGGTCACCGACCAGGTGACGGCTTTAGCCGCCACCCCCGACAACCGACTTATCGCCGTAGCCATGGTCAACCTCCATGTTGACGTCTACTTCGCGGACTCATTCAAGGTTGGTTATTGAAGTTTTGCATCGAGGAAATGTGTGCCGCGTAACCGCGCCTACGCAACCAAGAACGATACCCAAGCTTTTGCAACTGGTGCCTCGATCTAGCTTGCACAAACGGTGAACACGACGTGGTCGCTCGCCTCAACTCTATACCTTGTAGCGGTTTTAAACAGGCTTTCCAAATTAGTGTATAGTAACTTGTTTTCTTGGTTTACCAGTTATTGGATGGCGAGGTTACTCTGAGAGTTGCTTTGAAATAGACCTGGGTGTCTGGTTTCTTCCAAATGCAATGAAGGTGATGCCACATTCATAGCTAAACCATGTTTTTTTCTCCCCCAACCACCCTAGAGAGTGCACAGCCTCTACGGGATGTCCGCGCCGGTGACGTGCATGGACGTCTCAGACGACAGCCGTCTGCTCATTACAGGCAGTGGCGACAAGACCGTTCGTCTGTGGGAGCTGCAGTTCGGCAACTGCTTGCGTCGCTTTGTGGAACACACCGACCCGTAAGTTGGACTGCCATGGTTTCCAGAATTCACCCTACTGTGAATTTAAACGCTCTTCTATTTCACTTGGCATCTATGAAATGCTTAGTCTTTGTCCTTGCTAAAGTCCTGTCCAGATGACTTGTTTACCGAATCGAGATTGACGTTCTTCGGACAATTTTACAAAATTTCCATGGCAACGGTTCAAAAGCGAAAACCTACAAGCCCACGCATAATCCACAAGCATTTAAAGATTCATTGAAGTATTTTGTGGTGTTGGGGTGTTTGTCAAGTTCCCGTGGCTTTCTAATCGAAGTTGAAGGATCCTTCCGCGGGTGTGGTTTATCGAGTGACTGTGTCTGGTGCCTGCGATTTCGTGGTCATCCAGAGCCTAAACTCCCATTTTCTGCTTCTATGCTTTGGTTCACGAAACGGAGTGTTATCTTGCCGAGGGCACACTGTTGGAGTCGGCTTCTTGATAAATCTATGTTGCCATTTCCACTGAAGGGTGTTCTACCGTCGCCGAACTTCAACCTACCACTCAGACCCCAAAAAGAGTCGAATTTCGAAACCGTTTTTACCAGTGAATGTCTTGCGTGTGCCTTGGGGTAGGTCTTCCCTCGCAGATGTCTTGGTTGTTACAGGCCATCAAGGAATCCAAGACACGTTTCTTCCCAGCCAGAAGTTGCGAGCGTTCCAAGTGTCAGAAATTTGTGCCTTACCAAAGAAGTTACATGAGATAGATTCCACAATTTCCACACGGTCTGTAATCGATAAGCCCTCATCCAACCCACCTTGTGTGTGTGTGTGTATGTGAATATTCGTTATTTCGGTTTCCAGGCGTGAATCTCAGGCGCTAATCGTGTCCTCTTCTGTTGTTTTAAGGATCACAGCCGTGAAGTTTATGCGCAGTTCCACTCTCGCCTTCTCGGCTGATCTTGGCGGTGTAATTCGCGAATGGGACGTGAAGAAGCTGCAGGAGGTCTGCACACTAAAGGTGACTTGCGTCTTTGTTTTGTGGTGTTTTTGGCGTAAACCGGGCGATTTGAGGACAGCAGCTTGCATTCCTGAGAGCGGTGGTCTTAGTGTTCCAACTATCGATTTTATTTCTTCCACTCTAAGGGTCACGAAGGTGGTGTTACTGGTCTCTCAACCCTCCCCACTCGACCAGGCCTCGGGAAACAAATGAAAGACAACCGTTCTCGTTCTCAGCCCAAGCGTGGCCGACGAGAAGCCGATAATGCGGATGACGAAGACGCCGACGACGATGACTTCGAGGCGGACGTGTGCGGAGGCGTTGTCGTTTCAACGGGGCGTGACTTCTCCTGTCGGGTCTGGCTCGAGTCCGAGGAGCTGTTGGTGCTGGAGGAGGAGGCGGAGTTGGCTCGGGAGGCCGCGGAGGACGAACTGGAACTGGGTCGTTCCGAGGCTGTCGTTCCTGGTGCAGTCGCACCTGACGCTGGAGAAACTGGCCCCCTAGGCCGTCCTACTGTGACCACTCGAAACGCCGTAGGTTCCTCATCTGACTTTACTATTTTTTGACTTCACTGCATTCCTTCCTTGTCCGTAATGGAGGCATGAAGTACCAAAAAAGCCATAATCCAGGTATATTCTTCTGTAGGCAGATTCTCTGATGGAAGCCATAGACATCTACAGCAGCCAGACTCAGAGCCAGGAATCAGAGCCGCCACACCCTCTGATGGTGGCCTACGGAACAGCCAACGATCCCGACCGCTTCCTCTTCACCGTCTTCTCCGCCCTCCGTCTGCCCGGGAGTGCTGGAATGGCTGGCATGGAGCACGCACTCGGATCCCTCCACAGTGACCACGTCAAGCGCCTGCTTCCGCGTCTCGCCGCCTGGCTGGAGCGCGGTTGGGACGTGGAGTTGTGCGGACGCGCCATCCGCTACCTCTGCACTCTTCACGCGGGCCTAGTCACCACCGATGCCAATCTGGCCAGCACTCTGGCCGCCGCCCAGGCAGCCAGGCAGTCGTATCTGTCGCGGACAAGAGTGCGTTACCACATGAGCCAAGATTACTTGACCGTTCCGTTCTCATTCGGTTGACTAAGTACTTTCTGATGGCATCTCTTAGACGATAATATGGGACCGATCAGTATCTGGGCTAACTCGCGAACCAGTATTCTAACGCTTTACACGCCATCTCGGATGAAACTGCGTAGGACCTTGTTCCTTGTGTTAGTTTGAAGTGACTTCTTTACAGCTGATTCGATTCTTGACACGGTTATCACCTACATGACCCAATTAGGCTGTGGGCTCACGCAAACCGCTCCTAGTTTCAATTCGTTCTCGTGGTTTTTTTGCGTGATAACGCTTAGACCCTGTCCAGCATAGCCTGTTTTTTTTCTTTACCTGTCAGAAAATGCTCGGAATGAATCTGGCGGCGCTGTCGTTTTTGCAGCAAAAGATTGAAGAGGAGGACCAAGTCTCCCTGTTTAGCGAGGCCACCGACCAACGCGCGAAACGCGCCAAGAAGATCAAAGAACGCTTGGCCCAAAGGGTCGCCATTGCAACCGGATAAATCGATCCCTTCGGTCCCAATAACTCCACTGTACCTATGTATTAAATAAAACTGAATCAACCAAACCGTTTTTATCTTAGTGGTGTTTGAGCTAGCCTCGAGATTCGCCCACGGGTGCAAGTCTTTGAAGTGTCCACCTCAGTAGCTGAATCCTACTTGGATCCATTTGGGTCTTCATCGCGATTCTAGTTGTCAAACAGGTTCTTGAGTTGTTAGTTACCCCCCGTGTGTTACCCCGATGAATAACCAGATGGTGTTACATGTCTTTAATCATAATAAATAAACAAATGAGCGAAAAACGGAGGCTCTATGATCGTTTTTGAAATGTTCTGCGTTCACACTTGGTGGATGCGGGTTCGTAAAAGGAGCTGTATTCACAAGGGCTTCATCGGTTGGGATGTCTGGGGGTAAAGAAGATTAAACAAGTTAAACTAGCCGGTGCCGGCACGCTATACGCCACGGTTCTACACATAGACACACACATCCAGGGGCGCATTTCTCCCTGGTACGCCAGTGAGAAGTTTGCAAAAGAAATTTGCTACAACTTCGGGATAACTTTACATCTTCCTCGTGTGGTGTCGGTGTGCTAAAAAACGGTTGATCTTGACCTGTGGCACCCAAAATCGTTCCACCGAATTTGTTGAGGTGGTGCGAGGTCCTACCTCCGCTAATTTTACCTCAGACGATGTGCATTTCAAAACAGGTGACGTATGGGGAGCGTAATAGTGGCAACGGTTGCTGCTGGTTCGACTGATTGTACTATGGGGATTCCATTAACGGTGTTTGGAAGTTCTAGCCAGTGATTTTCTTAAAAGTGGAGTCAGTCGAAGTGCTGGAGGTCGTACAAGCTATGGTCACCTTAAAAACTTATTTGCGCGGTCACCAAGTGCCAAGAATGGAGGGCGGGAGGTCACGGTCGAGCCAAGTTGGAGCATCGGTTGCCACAGCAACCTGCCATCTGAAATGCCCGAGTTTGTTCCAAGTGTAAGTCGGTAACTCACATAGTTAAGGCGGAGGTTAATTGGTGTCAGAGGTGGCACGACACACTTCTGAAGTGCCGCCATGAGGGTGTCGTGCATGGCGCGGTGGGAAGCGAGAAATTGGCGGGTCAGCTTGAGCTGCTGTCGCAGCATATTGTCCAATACCGTGACACACGGATTGTACGACGTTACGGCTAAAATAAGAACATCCTCTAGCAGTCTTGCATCCACAGTGCAACATGTGTGTGCCACATTTGGTGACTTTTCCGATGTGAACGTTATGAAACAGCAAATTCAGACAGAACCCGCCACATCAGACAGAACTTACTATCCACCACGTTTTTGCTCTCAAGCATCGCCTTGAGGATTGGCTGGGGATCAGTCTGTCTGGCGGTTATTTGCCCAACAGCAGCGGTAACTGCCGCAACGAACGCCGACTGGTCGTACCAGCCAGGTTGGATGGACGGATGTTGCCAAGACGCAGGCCCTACAACACTCCACAGACTTGTGTCCGTCAGTGTGCCAGCATTACGAAACTGCGCCTTCTCCACAGCATCCTTTGCCTTCCTAAAGCGGACAGATTGGTTTAAGAGATGTTAGGGCGATAGACACTCCCTTCTTAGTAACTCTTATCATTTATACTTAATGCTGCTTCGAAAAATGAGGGTTTTCGAAATCTGCAGAGTAGATTTCTTGGATAATTTACCAAAACACGCGTTGTTTATCCGCAATTCTTTTCGAAACCTTTTGGTCCAAGGTGATTATTTGATCGCACTGGCTGTGGGTTACCGGGCACAGCTTCGCTTTCTTAAGGAAGACAACAGATTACGTGGATTTTTCCAGTTTCCACGCTATAAATACAATGTGCAAATGCAGTGTCTGATTGTTCGCACCTAAGCAAATCTATAAACAAAATTTGGAATTGGTTTAACAATTAAGATGCTACCTTCCTTGTTTTACTGTTCTGGTTTGTTCTCTGGGCGCCGTTTTGAAGCGGTGTGTGTCATCATAATGGCAAACTTACACGGCGCAGCCTGATAACCTTTACAAAGTTTGCGTTTCTAAGTTGCAAGTTGACTCAAGCTTAATAAATGCGGATAGTCTGAACCATAGAGAGACTGCCAAACAGTTGATGTGGCACTGACAAATCAGCGGGAGCCCAATTAACCCCAAATACATCACCAGAAGCTGTAATGAGGAAATTGCACTTACCGCGGCGCAGACGTCTTAGACTTTTCCGTTGAAAGGTCTCCTGAAGTGGAACCATTTCCGCCGGACACAAACTGCAGGGGCGTTGGAGGGGACGTGGCTTGAAAAACGGGCACGAGAATATATGGAACCAGAAAACAAGGCGAGGCTTTTGGTGAATTTGTAAAGTCCCAGGCCACAGTGCGTGCAATGCGACTAGGAGTGTTTACTCATGTGTGAAGTTATATTTAGTTTAAATACATACCTCCGACCCGCGATCGTTTGGTTTACATTGGACTGAACGCCCACTGGGGGATCATTCAATCATCCCGTTGTTTTACTGTTCTGATTAGTCCTCTAAGCGCCATTTTCGAGTGTGCTCACTAAGTGTGCGAATCATGAATTGACTTTCATCGCTTAGGGCAATGGCCGTTGTTCTTCTTCAACGTTTCTAAGCTTAAATTTCGGAGCTGGATTTCGGTTTTCAAGTAACTGACCTCAGCGAACGTGCATGGTCTACACTCAAGGCTACGATTTCTAATGTCACTGCTAGAATTTCACATATTTTTAAAACAGAGATAGAAGGAAGGGTATTGGTAATTAAAATATACACCATATTATCTGCTAGAATACACCTAGACTACATCATGGCCAAAGGTTTGCACGTGTCCGGTCATGTAGCAGATTCGTCAGGGAGTGGACTCAATCTATTGCAAACAACCGGTGCTCTGATTGCTTACCTTGGCTGGTGTCCGAGGTCGTTTGGGTTGTTGATTCTTTCGCCAGTGAGGTCTTATTTATGGGTCTAATCACTTCAGGCTCCTTGATAATTTCCAACTGTGTAACGTTCTCGCACTTGTCTTCCTCGTCACTTGACTCGAAGTCGTCAGAGTAACCATCTGTGCCTTCACATTCGCTTCTGTCCTCGTAGGTGAATGAGGCGGGTGCAGCGTTTCGCCTTGTTGAATTATCACTTAAGGACGAGAGGGTCGGTGAGGCGGATTGCGAGTGATCTGTCCACGACAACAAAAACCCATGGCTGAATTTCGACTTCATGTACTGCCGTTTGACCGTAGACGAACGATTAGATAGGTATTAGTTAAAAAAGGAAGGCTTAAAATGCGGACATCTTTGAGGTGGGATGACTTGAGAGTCAGAAAGTGAAGTTCCTCGTTGAAGCTGAGTTATTCTAATTGTTATTCCCATTTCTGCTCTCTTTTTGACCGGCCATTTTGAAGTGTCCATTTTCTCAAGCCAAATTGTTGAGGCGACTTTTCTCCTTTACATCACGAAAAAATCATATTAACTTGGTTAGTTTTTAATATTGATTGATTTTTACCTTTTCTTGGGGAAGGCACCCGCCATGGGTGTCCATTTTTGAAAAAAAAAATACAAATATTTGTTAATATATTATTATAACGTATAGTTAATCAATAATATCCGCACGAACGGATGGTAAAAAACTCCCCTCAATATTCGAGGCACCCAAGAACTGCTTTGTCAAGGTCAATAAGTAAGACAGACCAAAAGAGGCAAAGGTTCTGGGACCGAAAAGGAACCAAATGGGAATAAATTTATCACCTGAATGAGAAAGAGCCGTCTTGCACCTAGACTTGCGATTGTCACTAACGCCAGATGTTGCGGAACCACTGCAATTCTTGTCTTGAGAACAAGACAAATAAGTTAATGTGATTTATAGGAAACCGTTATGGTAACATGCTTTTTAAGTAGACGTTACCGTCTTCTCCCATGACGGAACTGAAATCGTCAAAGCTGCGGATCACAGGTGAGAGCGAATTTTCATCTAAAGAGGACAAGACAGCAATTTAAATACTAAGGATCGCCAAGAAGAACCATTCTGAACCCAAATGAATGAAGTTTTTGCAAATTTGTGGAGAAAATTATTGTCTTGGGGATATTTGAGAAATATTGCAGACGTTGAGAAATGCAATGAGGACAAAACCGGCCCTACCGGACTAACCTCCCGTGAATGACTGCCTGGAGGTTGGGTCGCGCTGTGTCCGTTTACTGGGCGCTGGTTGAAGCATCGAGGACTTCATTCGCGTCGAGGTAGAGGAAATAAAGGACTCAGAGTAGTGTGGATTTGTGTCACCTTCTTCGTCTTGTCTGTCACTTTCGGCGTTTAAAGTCTCACTTAAACCCTGTTGGTAAATAAGAAGTAAAAATTGGTGTAAGCAGAAATTGAAAGACAGGTCCGAGTTCTGAAACATCTCCAAATATATTTTCGCCCTCAGGTTACAAGGTAGAAAACTTCAGTAAGATTGTAAATGCAGTTGAGAAATGTTCCCCATTAGCAATGGCGTTTTGAATGTAAGGCTAACTAACGGGTAGATTTTGTTACACTTTATACAGGCTTTCGAAAAAAATGACGACAGGAAGCAGTCAGCTTGAAAAACAGGGTTATAGATGCAGCCAGTCAGTAGTATGTTTAAATAATGGAAAAATTGCTTACTGGCTTCGGGGTTGATGAAAGATGGTTGAATGACATCGCTGTACGACTGGTGGTGCGAGAGCCTTCATCTACAATGATGTACAATATAACAACACGTCTTATGCATTGTTTCTGCCTCACTATTGATTAACCAATTACTTGTATCTTTTACCAAGAAGGCCGATTGGCTTGTCAATAGCGATTGTCCGTTTTAAATAATGAGTAAGTTAAGTGGCATTTTCTACGAAGCCCGTGACTAGCCTTTGTTAGTGCAGTCAAATTCATACACCAAACAAAACTAAATAAAACTGCATTTGTTGTCTGTAACTTACCCGAATCCAAAATTTTGCTAGTAGTCTTGGGTGGATGACTAAAATTAAGCAAGGATTAAATGAAGAAAACACGTTACAGCAAAATATCATGTCACAACCAAATGAAGCAATTTCAATACAGTATATTAGCTTCATTACTTAGAACGATTGTTTTTCATTCCGATTATTTAACACATAACACCATCAAAAGTTTAAATTGTGAATCTGTATAAGACAATTAAACTCTTTTTGCAGTCAAAGTTCGAGTTTTTTACGCCCACATCTTACCTTACGTATGGCGGGAATGCAACATCCAGAGTTTTTGGTACCCAGATGTAACTTGCCAGAGTCCGTGGACATGCCCAATTAGTTTGTGATTATAATCAGAATGAGCATAACCAAAGTATAAAGAAACTATTTTCTAACTTACACGGGCACAAAACCATGCTTGTTCGTGTTGATAAATGATGCTCCAGTTAAAGCTGAA